CACCATGCAAACCTCTAGGCCTTCCCAGAGGGTTTGTGTTTGTATCCTATAAATTCATCTTAAAATTTTTCCCACCAGCCTGACTGAACTCCCACAAGTGATAACCTGTCATTCATTTTTGATATTAGTAATTTGTGTTTTCTGTTTTTCTTGTTTAGCATGGCGAGAGGTTTATCAATTCTATTGATCTTTCCAAAGAACTATTTTTGTTTTCATTGACTTTCTATTGTTTTCTTGTTTTTTATTTCATTTATTTCTGCTCTGATTTTTTATTATTTCTTTTCTTCTGCTTGCTTTAGGCTTAAATATCTCTTCTTTAGTGTCCTAAGGTGGAATATTGCTCATTGATTTTTCTTTTCTTTCTTTTCTAACTTTCGCATTTAATGCTATAATTTTCTCTTTAAACATTGCTTTTGTTGCATCCCACAAATTTTGATGTTATATTTTTATTTTCACTTAGTTGAAAATATTTTGTAAATTCTTTTGACATTTCTTCTTTGGCCCATGTGTTATTTAGAACTGTGTTGTTTGGTTTCCAAATAATTTGGGATTTTCAACTATCTTTTTGTTATTGATTTGAGGTATCATTCTATTGTGGTCTGTGAAGACACTTATGCTTTCTATTCTTTTAAATTGGTTGCTGGATGCAGTGGTGCACCCCTGTAATCCTAGCACTTTGGGAGGCCAAGGCAGGTGGATCATGAGGTCAGGAGTTTGAGACCAGCCTGACCAACATGGTGAAACCCTGTCTCTACTAAAAATACAAAAATTAGCCAGGCGTGGTGGCATGCATCTGTAATCCCAGCTACTCAGGAGGCTGAGGCAGGAAACTCACTTGAACTGGGAGGCAGAGGTTGCAGTGAGTGCTGAGATCACACCATTGCACTCCAGCCTGGGTGGCAGAGAGAGACTATCTCAAAAAAGAAAAATTTGTTTAAGGTGTGTTTTATGGCTCAGAATGTGGTCTATCTTACTGACTTGTTGCATATGAGTTTGAGAAAATGGTTTATTCCGCTATTGTTGGATGTAGACGTCTATTAATGTCAATTTGATCCAGTTGGTTGATAGTGTTGTTCAGGTCAGCAATATCCGTATTGCTTTTCTGCCTGCCTGCTTGATCTATAATTACTGAAAGAGGGTGTTGACGTCACCAACTATAATATTGGATTTGTCTATTTCTCCTTTCAGTTCTATCACTCTTTGCCTCATGTATTTTGACACTCTTGTTAGGTGCACACACATTTAGGATTGTATGTCTTCTTGGAAAATTGACCAATTGATCTGTTCATCTATATGTAATGCTCTCCTTATCTCTGATAATTGTCCTTGTTCTGAAATCTGCTGTTTCTGAAATTAATACAACTACTCCAACTTTCTTTTGATTATTGTTAGCATGGTACATCCTTCCCTATGTATGAGTTTTTATATTTAAAATGGGTTTCTTGGCCAGGCATGGTGGCTCACGCCTGTAATCCCAGCACTTTGGGAGGCTGAGGCGGGCGCATGACCTGAGGTCAGAAGTTTGAGACCAGCCTGACCAACATGGTGAAACCCCATCTCTACTAAAAATACAAAATTAGCCGAGTATGGTGGCACATGCTTGTAATCGCAGCTACTCAGGACGCTGAGGCGGGAGAATCGCTTGAAACCGAGAGGCGGAGACTGTGCCATTGCACTCCAGCCTGGGCGACAAGAGCGAAACTCTGTCTCAAAAAAATAAAGTGAGTTTCCTGCACACAACATATAGTTGAGTCTTGTTTTTATCTACTTTCACAGTCTTTGTCTTTAAATTGGTGTATTTTGATCATTCACATGTAAGTGATTATAATATAGTTAGATTACTACCTACATGTTTGTAACTGATTTCTATTTATTGCATTAGTTCTTGTCCCCTCCCCTTTTTCTGGGGCTTCTCTGGTTTAACTGAAAGGTTTTTTTTGTTTTTGGTGTTTTTGAGACAGAGTCTCGCTCTGTCGCCCAGGCCAGAGCGCAGTGGCGTGATCTTGGCTCACTGCGAGCTCTGCCTCCTGGGTTCACACCATTCTCCTGCCTCAGCCTCCTGAGTAGCTGGGATTACAGGCACCCGCCA